TGCCCGACGTCTCCATGGCGGACAGGCGGTGGCAGCACGTCGCCGTCGTCGTCGTCGTCGCTGTCCTCGAGGACGACGATGCCTCCCTTGTCCATGCCACGGCGACGAGCTCCGAACCGCGCGAGGGCGGCGCACTGGCGCTCCTTCTGCGCCTGCAGCCAATCGCCGCGCGCCCATTTGAGGGCCGCCTCGTCGTCGAGCGCCTTCTCCTTGACGCCGCCGGCGAGCCCGGGCTCCGTCTTCACGACGGGAAGCCCTGGCTCTGTGTTCGGCTTGACGAGTCGGGGAGGGGCCGAGGACGAGGCGCGGCCGCCGCCTTCGTTGATGACGATGCCGGTCGGGCGGGTGCGCCGGCCGAGCGGGGTCTCCATTGCGGGCTCGGCCTTGATGCCGAACACCGCCGGAGAACCGGAGGAGTGGGAGGAGGAGTGGGAGAAGGAACGAGACGAGGACGATGAGCCGGAGATGAACCTCCTTGGCATCCATTGCCCGGCGCCGCGGCGGGGCACCGGAGCGGTGGCCGGCCCTCGAGGGTATGTGAGCGGTGGGTTGTTGCCGCCCTCGAGGTACGCGAGAACCTCGCGGAGTGTCCGGCCGGGGACGGACCACCACAGCCGTCGCCCCTCGCTGTTCCACCGGTCGCCCGCCACCACCGGTGCCCTGTTGATTGAGGCGAAGCGTTGCTCTTGACGGCGCTGGAAGTACGCCGCCCACGCCTCGTGGTTGTCGGCGGCGTACTGCGGGGAGGTGCGCTGCTCCTCGGTCAGCGACGACCGAACGCGGTCGACCTCGCCGGCGAAGTGATCGGGGCGTGCGACGACGTCCGGCAGGGGGGATGGGGACGCCTCCGGCGCCGAGCCTCCATCCTGTCAGCCCAGCGGGCATGTCTGGAGGCGCCGAAATGTTAGCCTCGAACAGTAGGTACACCTCCCACGTCTGCAGCGAGCGGCGGCCAAAGCCGTTGGCCGCCGCTCCGTCACCGGGGAACCGCTCGCACATTATCGTGGATGGGCTGGGAGAGAGGAGAGGTTCGTCGGCGGCGGAGAGAGAGAGAGGTTCGGCGGCGCTAGAGAGAGACAGGGAGCACAACGTCTGTGGCCAACGACGAGGGTGGGGCGACGTTTTTTATAGCCGCCGGGTAGGCGTGTGTACGCGGGGCGGGGAGTGAGGTGGCGCCGCGCCGCCCGTGAAGAGCCGCCCCGTGAGGAATCAATGGAAGTCTAACCGGCGACAACCTTGGCATTGATTCCCCGCGGAAAATTGAGGCGTTCGCGGAACGACGAGGCGAGTGTCGCTGACTCAGCGGGCCCGCGGCTTTTTCGCGTCAAAAACCGCGCCCCCAGTGCGCCGGGTTCGGTCTGGATCCGCCGGCGCCAATTTCAGTCTGAGCCGGCGAAAATTGGGCTTCTGGAGACGCGACTGGGCCAATTTTTATGCGTCGGCGCAAAAAAGTCGTTTGGAGAAGGCGTCTTGGGGGCTCGACTGAAGATGCTCTAAGGATCACTTTTGGAGGGTTGGCAGCATTGAAGCGCACGAGGGATGGATTTACCTGCAGCTACAGATGGTTAGATGGGTGATGCGAATCAACCTGTGGTTGAGTTGATTAGGTGGATAGTGGTATCCTAACCCACCAGGGTTCAAATCCTGGTGCTCGCATTATTCCTGGATTTATTTCAGGATTTCCGGCGATGCGTTTTCAGTGGAAGTAGACGTTTCCGTCGATGACGAGGCGCCTACGGTGACTTCGTAAATCTCAAGATGATATGTCGGCTCAGTCTCTCGGAGGTGCTCATAGGGGTAGGGTGTGCGTGTGTGCATTCATAGGGGTGAGTGTATGCGCGTGTATATGAGCGCTTGTGTCTGTACTGATGCTAAAAAAAAGATGGTTAGATGGATGATGGTCACTGCTGTCAAAAAAAAAAAGATGGGTGATGGTCGCGTACACATCAGTACAGGCAGGGAGTAAATTAAGTAGGTGTGAGAGACAAACATCACGTTCCAACCGGCAACGGCCATCCACCAAATTAACCAAACACAACTACACTGAAGCGCAGGCAGGGAGGGCCACATAACGAGTCGAGCAATTCAAGCTAACTTACCTGCGCGACGTCGACTTGCATTAACAAAACTATAGGAAAACAAATACCACGCCTGCTCTGAATTACAAGATGTTTTGGATACTTCAGTATGGGCTATATAAAAACTAAAATGAGTAAACAAACACATTAAAATAAAGAGAGTTTTCTTTATTCATTGCTTTGATTCATCCTTGTTATTTCTGTTTCAATGGAATTTTTGTTTATATGTTTCCCCCTATGCAGATGAGTTTTACAATATACTCCCTCTGTCCGGAATTACTTGTCACAAAAATGGTTAAAAATGGATGTATCTAGAACTAAATTATGTCTAGATACATTCATTTATTCGACAAGTATTTCTGAACGGAGGGAATAACTCTAAATCATATTAGAGCACCTACCTAGGATAACTCAATGAATTACAATCACGCTGAAGAGTATCAGCAGGAAAAGGAGAAACGTATCCTTGGCGTAGTGTCCCGTCGGTGGAGGTCCCTGTCTTGCTGAGGACATCGCGGCCAACACCGAGGATCATATGGTGTTTTAGTCCTGCGAATTTATGTCTTCTAATCCAGCGGGTTGTCGTCCGGTACAATGAAGAAGCGTCGGTACAGCATCTTGGTTGTGTGACCTCACCACAATGCATCAAACGATGTAACATTCTTCTATACTGAGATGGGAGGTTCATGGAGTGCCAAGTAATGGTGCCCTTTAGTTTGAAAAATGTAAAAAACATATTTATAAGTTAAAAAAATGGAGATAAATTCTGTGAAGACTTGTATCTGTTCACTACGGATCCAAGATTTTTTTTAGAAAAAATGTATTTTTTAAGCTGTACAAAAAAACAAATTCCAGCCCAAAAACAAAAAAGGGGTCAATTTGAAATTACACATTTGTCTTTTCTTTGTACGCCACATGTGAAAGTAAAATTTATTAAATTTGGCACATACATAATACACGTGTGTGTGTTTACAAAAAAATATATCATTTTTTGGCGTTGTAGAAAATGTTTTTTTAAACGGGCACCATGGTGCCCGTGCACAACTAGCAATTTTCGCAGGTTCGTGTGGCTATTTTCAAAACGTTAAGTATGGTCCACATTGTGTTAGTTTTTTGGCCACAAGTATGGAGAAAAATTGATATGCAACACAAAATGTTAAGCTATTATGTTGCTCTAAAGTGAGCGATGACGATTTCGGACTAACTAGATGTAACCTTTTGTTTTATGTGAAATATTCTGTTTTTGGTTAGGCCAATATACTGAATTTGATGTACTTCATATGAGTAGTCAATCAAACTAGACACTCGAAAGAGAAAAAAGGATCACGTGGGTGATTGAGAGAATATTGTTTCTCCACCACATTGTAGGATTACATCATGACCTACCATGCCATGTATTGTTTTGAATTTCATGAAGAAAGAACGAAGCAACTTCTAAATAGAAAGCACAAGATATGTTCTTGTTTTTCCAGTGGACATGATACGTTTTGTTGCCAATCTTCTACACAAATACACCGATGAACATGGGTTCATACACACCCTACTGAATTGTTAAATCTATAAAAAAAATGTATGCAATTTTTGTTTTAACATACATAGTCCTAGAGGCTTACTCACGATTGGTCATGTCGTCCTTCAACTTTAGAATTAATTCTATTTTCTTTTCAAGGGTTATTATAGCAATTCACATTCCGTGCATAGCGTGGAGGCTATGGAGCAAACTCGAATCTTAGCGGGCACTATTAGGCCAGCTTCGGTTTTTTCTTCTCTTTTATCTCTACCTTTTTTCATGTTTTATTTTCCTTATTGCTTTTATATTTGTGTCCTTTAAAAAATATTCACCAATATTTTTCTAAATGGGGAATATATTTCAATTCTTGCACATTTTTTCAAAATCATAAATATTTCATCAAAATCGTGAATATTTTCAAGTTACAAACATTTTAAACATTTGATTTAAAAAACCACAAACATTTTAAAAATTATGATCAATTATAAAACGGTGAGTATTTTTTGGAATTCATGAATTTTTTTATTTTTGTGCTTTTTTAATTCTCGAGGTTAAGTTTCTGGAATCACGCGCGTCCACGTGCGGCACAAACCACTCGCCGGCCCGTGGGCCCCGCACGCCCAGAGACGTCAGCGTCGACGTACCCACGCAGACACTCGCCTCACGGCTCACGGCTCACCCGCGTCGTGCAGACACTCGCTCCGCCAACCACACCCCACGACACCGCAAAGCGCAGCGGGCCCCACCCCCCTCCAGGCTCCAGCGTCCACGCGGTCCACGCTCCCACCCAACAGAATAAAAACCGTCGGGCACGCGACGGACGGCCACCAGCGCC